GAAATAATAGACCGGTCTTTAAAGAAAATGAAATGTTTGAATTAATTCATGTAAAGTTACGACTCAGTGACAATTTCATATGTTAAATTATGTTATAATAGGCAATAGGGAGTCGATTACTAGATTCCTTATCACGCTCTAAATCAATTCAAGTAAAAAGCGTTCACTTATTAATAACAGTGGCGGCCGCAATCAGGGAACACTTCCATCTTGTAAAGCTACTTGACAAAACATACATTCAAATAACACACTTTAGTGCAATTATCGGGAATAGTAATTAATGAAATCAACGCCATCTGGTAGCTTTAGTTATAGAGTTACATAGATATTATTTATATATATTTTTATATATGATAATAGATTTAATTTGGGACCTCTTGTTGGCTGAAAACAATGACATAACTTGAAAAAGATGAGAAAAAATGAAACAAAAAAAAATAAATAAAAAAATTAAACAAAAACAAACAAAAAAACACTGAGAAAATAAATGGGTTTTATGTTTTTTTATTTTTCCGAATGGAAAACATACTTGGAAAAAACTAACTTTTAAAAAATAGTTAATTATGTTTAAGTTGTAAAAAAAAAAATGAAATACAAAATGTGTTGTGTTAACTGCACCGTCTTACTAGTTTAAAGATTCAAAGTGTGTTATGGTCGAATAGAAATCTGAAAAATTATTTTTTCTAAATAAAATCAAATTAAAAAAAAAAATAATAATCTGAAGTTTCATTTTTTTTACAAAGAACATAATTATGTCAATTTGAAACAAAACATAACAAAATGTATATATGACTGATACTTTGAAAACTTACATAAAATAATATAAATAATTCGGTAGTTCCACAGCAGGGTTAGGCTATATTTGTTTGTATACACTGATAGATACTGAAGGTTAAATTTTCATTAATAAACTTTAGAGTAGTTTCAATGCTGTTAATTATTTGCCTATTCGATACAATATTGAACATTGATCAAGGTGTATCAAGTAAGAAGGCTATACTCTGTAGTGTGAGCTTATATGCTAATATTTCTAGTACTCTCCATTAATTACACAAACAGAAACATATGCTACATAAAGAAACGTAAAATGAGTCAGTGAAATGAACAGATCTGCACTTATTAAATGGATAAGATGGGGGTGAAATAAAAAAAAATTTAAAGCGATTAATTTTTTTTTTACAGCTTTGTTCATTTTGAAGCACTATTGTATATTAGCAGAAACGACCTTACCTGATCAATGTTCTTGTGTGGTCTCATTTTCAGAAAATATAAAAGTTGGGAGAAAATTCAGAAAACAAATGTGAACAATTTCATAAGCAACAAAGGAAAATAATTACTCTTAATATCATAATTTTAAAGCAAATAGCTCTCAGGTTTTTTTTTTATGAAGAAAGTTATATGATTGGGATATTACACAAAAAAACAAGCAATAAAATTAAAACATTGAAATCGTATTAATGGTTTCATAAATGCATAATAAGTTTTATATAAGGTAGTGCTAATTTTGTTATAAATGAATAATCAAAATCAGTCTTTTTCAATTAATTTAGTAAACTATTGCATTTGAAAGATCATAGTAACAATCCTTTAATGTACTCAAAAATTGTTTTAATTTAATTGTAAGAGGGTGTAGTAGCATGATCTTAAATAGATCTGTTTTCAGACTGGCAAGAATTTTTCATTTCCTACCATGATTTATGTATACTCTCTAGAATTTTCTAAAATATATATATTTATATATAACTCATAGTTTCTCTTATGAGAAATATTTAATGGATAATCTCACCAAAGAAACATACATTTTATATAGTGCCTACCAGTATTTTATAAAATTGTTGCAAGAAAAAAGATTTACATGTAAGTCCAATGTTTTTAAAAATGAATTTTTCGAAAACTATGATTTGGGAAATATTGTAAGGAGAGTTATTTTTAAGTTAAATAAACACTGAATTTTTTATTTCTTCTTTTTTAAATCAGATGCAACTGAATTGGAAAAATATAATGGGATTACACTCATTCTTCTACAAACAAATCTGCAAGTAAAGTTATCAAGTAGAACAGTGTTTCCCAAAGTGGAGTATGCTTACTCCTGGGGACACAGAAAGAGTTTGGTGAAGGGACGCCCTGCAAAGGAAAAAAAACATATTTTTTTATTGCTATTTAAGTATATGCAATTATTTTTTTTAACAAGGGGTACTCATTGTTACGAAAGATATAGAAATGGAAACTCAGATATCGAAAGTTTGGGAAACACTGAAGTACAACATTGTCAGACTTGAGAGAATAATAATAATAAAAAAAACAATGTTTATTTAGTTTTACAATTAAAATAAACATTAAAAAAACAAACATTAGAGATCAGAAATTTAGATTTAAAAAATGTGTAGTTTTAAAAAAAAAAATAATACTAAAAGAGAAAAAGAGAGAGATAATCACTGATTTCAAGTATGTAGATTGAATAGTGATTATATCCCAAATATCAGTGATGACTAAATGTCATAATTTAGCCAAGTGTCATAGGTAAATTGATGATATATCACATTCTATGTCACACTATTTCTTTTACAAGTTTTAAAGTTAATGACATATTTATAAACAAAATAAAATCAGCATATGGAATGAGGAAATTAAAAGTCATTGTGTGACACATTTAGTTCTAGATTTCAGGTGCCTAATCTGAAATTGTGTAAATTTTTTTGAAATCTTTTTAGAAAACTTAAAAATAGTTTAAACCAATGACCTTGAACAAGGAAAATCAATTCCAAAATTAAGTTAAAATTTGAATTTTAGAAGTCTATAGAACATTTCAATGCTTTCATATTTTAAAAAATACAGTTTCACAATTTTTTTATTGATTGTAATTAAAAGAGATATGAAAACTAAAGTAGGTCCACTCATATTGAATAAAAAAACAACTGCAAATGATAGTATCACTAAATTTAAGGCATATTTCAGGTAGAGTTTAAAACTAAAATGTATTATTTTAAAAGAATAGAAGAAAGCAAAATGGGCCAGGGGCCATCCATAAATGGTTTAACAAACTTTATTTTTATTTTTTATGCCCCCCCCCCCCACCCAGTCTACTCATTGTAACAAATCATAACAAAATGAAAAGACATCACTAAAATTAAATGTAAAAAATATATGTACCTCTCACCCCGCCCCACTCGCCCCACCCCTTTCTTCTCCTTTTATTTTTGTGAGTTCATTTATGGATAGCACCAAAATAGATAATGTATATTTCTTAAGGTATTTTTGTAAAACCCTAACCTTTATAAATATGGCAACAAGAAAGAATAAAAGAATTTTTTAAAAAAAATTTAAAAAAAAGAATATTGTTAGTTCTTTAAAATCAGCAATGCATCAATTAATACTTCGTAATATAACTTGTAAAGTACAGAAACACAGCCATTGAAACACTGATAGAAACATCATGTATTGGTAACATTTGAAATTCACAACATTAAATGTAATAACAAACTTTTTAAAGAGATCTTCCAGGTATTTTGTTGTATTTCCTAAACAAGCAAGAGTGCTGTTGTTTCGGGGAAACAGTTATGTTAAGACTTGTAAATTATAAATATTATCATAAGGCAATGGCAGTTACTCATGAATTTAATCTTCATTCAAGTAAAAAAATATTAATTAATTTTCATTGTAAAGATGCCTGTAAAGTGTTTAATATTTATTATTACTTTTAAAAAAATGTTGTAAAATTAGTTCTTCATGTAAAGAAATATAATTCTTAAAAAAATATACTTGATTGTTATTTGCTTGTTCAATCTTCAGTTGAATTTGGAATGTATACATTTTACTAGGACTTTCACAGAACCAACAACTAACAAACAAACAGATAGCTCTGTTCAATTAAGATGCAATATAGCTTAACTATAAATATACCTGAAAATATAAAAATCAACAACTTATATAAGATATAATAAAATAACAACATGCACCTCTAAATTATCATTGCAATATTATTATTGGCATAAAATATTTATGCTTTCAGGCCAAGAAAACTACTGATTCTGATCATGGGATCCAATTTTTTTTTCATTTATTAAAAGCCCTGTTATAAAAATTTAAGGACTTACTAAATAATCACTTACTAGTAACGTTAATAGATAATATTTAAAGCAGTAACTCTATATCAGCATTTCTCAATCTTTAAGTTTGGCTGACTGCACAAGGGACTGGTGTAAGTTTTATTAATTATAAATATTTTTGTTCCATAAACATTCACATTGTGCGGACTTCTTGGGAACAATGCTCTATATTATTTTTTCTCTTCAAAATGATTTTTTTTCTTATGAATTGATCACCTCATTATAAAGTATAATTAATGATAAAAAAATTTTTATCAATTTTTTAAATTCAGAAAATCATTTTAATTTTAACTTGTTACAGTTTATCAAAGTTTAGTTTGTGTTCGAAATGTCCACCTTTAATTTCAAAATAGCCTTCAGGACTCATTTTACACCAAATAAACCTTATCGAAAGGGTTCCCATTTTTCAGAATACAGTGAAATTTATATATATATTAAAAATAATAAAAAATGTTAGGTCCAAACTTTGAATGGTTGTATCTCTTCCAAAGACAAAGGACATTTTAAAATGTACAAAATTGATTCTACTTCCACTTTAAGGTAAAAAGAGCTGCACAGTATGCAAGCAAAAGACAAAATGTAGTAATGTAGTAATTCATTCAACAATGAAATTGCATGTGTCTCAAGGTTAGTTTGATAAAAACTTATTTCTTGTGCTTGCATTAATCGAATGATGTATTACAGAGCATAATTAAATCCTAATGTGTCCTAAATAGACAATGACAAAAACATTATGTGAATATATATAATAAAAGTTGATCATTTACTAGGGAAGGAAAAAGTATTAATGACTTTCACATAACCTGTTAAAAAGCTTTAAAAAACACATTGTTCATAATTTTTTCCAATTTTTGAAATAAGTGGCTGAATTTTTAAAATATAGAATAAATTATTCTAGACACATTGGAAATTTACATTACTTTTTAAATGTTAATTATAAAAATTATATAAAAAAAATAATATAAATATTCAGTTTAACATAATAAGAGGAAAAGAAACTATTTGTGTTGCCATGAAGATAGTTCCTTGTGTTTTCATATCAGAACATATATAATAAATGGATTTGATACAAGTGATCTATGAATAGAAGGGTTGATCAATTCTTTTAAATCTACAATACCCTTAAATAATGCTATTCACCTCACACAGGTAAGTCATGGTCATATATTTAAAAAAAAACAAAACAGTCATTTATTTTCACAGCTTTAATATTTTGTAAACAGCAGTGTGAAAAAGGTATCCTAACTATAACATGTCATAGGAATTAAACTGCAATATCAATCTGTAGTTGAAAATGTCCCTTAGTGTGTACAGATTTGAAAATTGTTATATTATTTCAATTGGAGAGCAAAACATCTTAATCATATAAGTATGAGAAAAGCAATACAAATAGTGAATAAATGCTGCAGTCAAAGAAGGTAAAGCACTAGAAACCTACATGATACTTGTAAATTGTATCATTAATAATTTCATAATTAACCTTTCATGTTTGAGAGAATGGATGACAGTATGCCTACCGTGAAAATCATTTAAAAATTTTTTTAATGAAAGAATACATTTAAAATATTAATTAAATGTGAATTCTCTTTTTTTACTTTCTCACTCTAGAGCAGAACAATAACATGGCAAACTTATTCACTAGTATCTAAATACATTTAGATGTAATACAGCAACTTTGAAATTTAATTTTTTTTTTGGTTTAGAAATGGGATGTTTTGTGAGATGTTTAAAAATTGTTTGCACTTTAAAAAAAAAAATTAAAACAATGCCTCAAGTGAATATAACCAAAAATTCTTAAACTATTACAAAATATAATGATTTGAAAACATTTAATGAATTTTCTAATCATTAACTTAAGGAATGTTTTTGTTCAGGACACTTGTATCAATTTTCTGCTTTGTTTGCATGACAGTATTCAGAGTTAGAGCTCTACACTCAAGATTATATGAATTTTAGCATTTAACAACATGATGAGAATCAATTTCATGTCTCTGTTTTGGGTCACACTATTGTCAGGACCACACTTAACTAGAAGTTCGAAATGCTAAGAAGGTACTGACCCATAATGACTATTGAGTAAACAGTCAGGTTAAACTCCATAGAGACGACCGAAGATTTGTTTATTCTTTTTAGACAATCAAACTAGCACTGCTCTCGTTATTTCTGATGTTTGAGGTAAGTTTTACATTTTAAAAAATTAACATGAATGCATATGCAGTAGGTCTACTAGTCAGCCGATAATAATAACATCGTATTGTTTTCTTATAGATTTTAACTTGTGCAGACTTGTAACTGTTTGACTTATCAGATGCATTTCTAGACATTTGATAAGTTTATTTTAAATGGCCAAATTATAATATTATAATTCAGAAATGTTGAAAAAATATTGTTCCTGGAAAGTTTTTAAAAAGAAATATATAAACATGTAATGTAGCAGCAGTTCATGATTTTTTTAAATGGACTTGTTACTCTTATTCTATCGAAAATGTGAGCAGAACCATATAACTAAAATGTCAGTCTGAGAATATTTCTCAAAGAGGACACAACGAGCAAGTTTGACAGAAACAGAAAACCTAGTTGTCAGAGGGTGACTTTCAACTAGTTAATAAAATGAATAGCCAAATACCAAGTCCCTTAAATCTCAACTCAGTTTTAAATTGAACAAAAATTGCAATATTTAATCTTTTCTAGATACATTGTTTATATTCCTTCAAATACATATTATCCCCTGAATGAGTTATTATGATTATTACATAAAAAATACATGATATGCTTACAAGTTTAATACACATGATCAGCAAAACGTATTTGAAAATGTCATAAAAAAACAGCTTTTTTGTTTTTTTTACTATGGCAGACTTCATATGTTTTTTTTTATGTTTGTATAATGCACATAAATAATACTTGATTGATACAAGAATTGAATCACATCAGGTGATTAATGAATATCAGTGGAAGTTAGAATATAATCTGTGCATTCATCCCACAGGCACAATATACACTGTTCATACGAACGAAACAGAGAAATGCTAGAGGAAAGATTTTTCAACAGCTGGAATTTCATTGTTTAACACATGATCAAAACAAATGTATAGGTCATGGGAATACCATCAAGCTTACATTGTAAACTTCACTATCAAGAATATCTTGATTTGCCCCTTATAAGTTAACTAAAATGATTTCAGGCAACAATAGGGAATTAATTGATTAAATTAAATTAAATCTTAACTGAAATAGGTTAGGCTAATATTTTGTATGCATCATTTCTTCAGATCCAAATAATCTAGAGATCAAACTCTTTTAATTAAATACGTTGAGTCAATCCTCAGGTCCCATGAAATTTTGTGTGCATCTCTATGTTGGGAAAAACTGTGTACTTGAAAGCTATTTGAATCAGCTGTATTTTTGTGTGGTTTTGGTAGCAAATTGTCCTCATTGTGGACTCCCATCCACCTGATATTCAGCTTGTTGTTCCCCCAATCCAACTGTCCTCGAAAAAGTCCAGATCATCGCCATCATCTTCAGGCAGGTTGTTGAGGTTTTCACCGACGCTGGCACTTAATCTTTTGGCTGCACCATTCCAGCGTCGATTGCGAGCCCGCCTCTTTTTCAGCTCAATGATGCCATCAATTGAGGTTACCTGTCAGGGGATACATAAAATGTTTTGCTATGATTATAAAAAGTATTATTTTTTTGTAAATTTTTTTTTATTTGGCTAAATATAGATGCAGTCACACAATCTTAGAGGCATGGATAAAAGAACTAAGAATTTAAAAAAAAGAATTTTTATACATTGCTATATCACGAGAGATCATTGATTAAAATTACTTTGTTCTATTTAAATAAAGAAATCAAATCTTTTGGCTATAGTGTATTTATTTTCTCTGCAGCAAACCTCAGGATAATTGCAATCAAACATAAGCACATGAAAAAAAATAATAAAGTAAGAAAAATATCTTTCAAAAATAGAAAACCTTTCTTTAAGAACTAGTTTAAAAACATCAAGATATAAAAAAAAATAATTTTAAATTTCTCTAAAATGCATTAGGCCTATATAAAGAAAGTCTAGGCAGGAGAGTTGTAAGGCACTCTATGATGTCAATGGAATTGAATTAAATGTAGAAGAAATTTAAACATTTTCTTTTTTTTTTCTTTATGTAATGCACTTTGATATATTTTAATTTTCTATTTTTAAGTGCCTATCATCTCCTCTTTTGAAGAAAGTCTTTTTAGAAATGTTGCTTTAATGCTTTTCATTTTCAACATTTTAGTATAAAATTTTCTATCTCTAAATTAGTTTAAAATTTTCTATCTCTAAATTATACACAGCAGAAGATTTAAACAAAAAAAAATTCTTAAACCTAGGTAATAAAATGTATATTTTAAAGACAGCACCATTTTCAACCCCTGGTTACTTGTCTTCTGTTGCTCATATGCTGAAAGACCCTGCCCTTGCTCCTTTCCCCAAATCTACACCATAATTTTATAACACAAGGTTATTGGAATCCAAGGGTGTATTTTTTAAAAATGCCCCTTTCAATTTCCCAATCGCTCACCCCCCCCCTCCCTTTTTTCCTTTAAGCAAGGACACAGGAGCTCTGACTCTGTGTCAGCAACTAACATGCGACCTTACAGGAAAGCAGGAGTCAGATATTACCAAGCTTGGCGCAAGGAGCATGTGCGAATATAAAGTTTGAAGATACAAACTTGATGGATTCTTGAGTAGAAAGAATCTTGAAAGTCTTGACGATAATTATACACACAAAAATAAATAAATATTAACAAAATTAAATTTTAAAAAATAATCTGAATTTCTGTTTCACAAACCAGTTTGTCCAAGCCATAGTATGCAGCTTCCTCTCTCAAAATGTCAAGTTCTCTGTAACCCATGGGAACAATAAGTTTGGAAGTCCTTAGAAAGTTTAGAACATAACTGGAACAAACCATTTATAATGTTATATAATTTATTTATTATTTTGTTGTTGTTGTTGTATTTGTTGTTGTCTATGTACTTTTAAAATGTAGAAAATGGTTAGGCACAATATCTTTTCCATTTATTAAATATTGCTTTTCTGATCAACAGCAGGACCAAAAAAAAAAGTTTATGAATTACTATTGTTACATTATTTTCATTGCTACATTTATTAATTAATTTTTTTTAAAGTATTTAAATCTGTAGAAGGTAAAATCTTCTTAATGTTAAATTCAAGAGATCATACAATTAAGTGTTTAGCTTTTCCTTGGTCATGACCCCTTTTGACTGTTGGCAAAACAACTTAAAATGGAAAATTGTTTCTTTTAACCAGATTTAAAAACATTAAATATGTTTTCTTTAATTTTTAGAAAATGTATAGATAATTTTGTGAAGACTTAAAATTTTTTCAGATTCAACTTTGAATTGTGAGGAAGCTAGAGAAAATATGAAATCAATTGTTCACTTACAAATTCTGTTCCATAAGAAAATAAAAATAAATAAAAACATAAATAAAAAACTAATAAAATTACCGAAAAGAATGTCCGTCTCTGTCAATCACATAGTTGCCCCGATCATCTCTTGGACAATACTGGGCACCAGTAGCAATCTGATGTAGTACAGTCCCCGGTACTGCTTGTAGTGTTGGTCGTGTTGTAGTGTAAAATGTACCCCCAACATTCAGCTTCATAACCTAAAAGAAATGATATACACAGCAACAACAACAAAAATGTAATACAGAAATTTAAATTAAATTTTTGTTAATTCACTTAAATAAAAACTATCCCTTGTTCGCCATTTCTTATTTATATGTAAAGGTTAAATTAGACAAGCTCTTAAAACAAATGTTTCCGTATAAATCGATTACATGCATCTTTTATGATTTTATTTTATATTCATATTCTGATGACCCACCCGCCTTTAAACCTCAGATCTATTATTATTACATCAACTAGTTCAGAAAAAACAAAAGAAAATATTACGCACCAACGCTCTTGCGATATTTTTAATAATTTAATAATCTTATTTTAATGTAGTTATAAGGACTTTTATTTTGTAGAATCAGAGTCATCATATTTCCTTCATCCCCCCCCCCCCCTGAAAATCAGGAGAAACTGATTTTTGAGGCGGAATATGTTATAGAATGAATTGTCATCGGCAATGAGTCTATGTCCTAAGTTTCAGCTCGATAGGTTGATGGGAAGTGGGTAATTTAGCCTCTGAAGATTTTGCCACCCAGCCAGAAAGAAATGCACAAACAAAAGCAAAGTTAATATAAAGGATTGGAGACAAAAACTTTTGTTTAAATATGCAAAAGAAAAAAAAAATGACACTTTTTATTTAACATAAAAATATAACGTACCTTATCGGAGCCTCCTCCCCCGCCACGAGACATGACGTCAGTTGATGAGTAAAAGTATTGAATTGTGGGGCTCATTGACTACATCCGAGAACTGGTTTCTTCAAGAATAAAAAGTTATATTATCATTTTAAGAAATAAAAGTTGTGCAGTGGCGGTTTCAATTTAAGATTTTTTATTTTGGGGGTGAGGGGAGGGGCGGGGAGGTTGTTACATGGGCTAAAGGCATAAAGCATGAATAAATATGTTTCCTCTTGAGTGATTGTAACTTTTTAAACATGGGCTAAAGGCATAAAGCATGAATAAATATGTTTCCTCTTGAGTGATTGTAACTTTTTAAACAACAAATAGTTGCTTTTGTTTTGTTTCGTTGGTTTAAACATTTCTAACGTGCCGAACTAGTTCATGGTGACATATCTTTTAATTACTTTAAATACGAAAGAACAAATTTTAGTTGCATGACTAAGGCTATAGTTGTTGTTTTGTTTTTTTTTTTGTTGTTTTTTTTGTTATAACAATAGGTCTACTGATTTAGTACTTTAGGAAGCTGCAGGACGGCCTGACTTTCCGATACATTTTAAGCTCATTATGTACTTTGATATTTAACCTCGCATAGCTTCAAAGTCCCAAAGCTATTACACGTGTGCACGATGTGAAAGCAAATATAAAGTACTAATTGTTTTCAACAAATAAGAGCAACTAGCATAGTCAGCTGGCATAATATGGAGCTAGACTGTGTTTGCATTTGTTTGTAAGATGGTTGACTTGCTTATCAGATATCAGGGTGTATATTTACATTACGGTACACAAACTACTGTGCACACAATAGGCTACATGCTACATGGCACGCTATCTCGCCACGTATTTTTTTTAAACAAAGGAATTCTTACATTATAAAAAAATGGCAATCTTAAAATAAAACAGACCTTAGACACGGCAGTACACAAACACACGAGCACAATGGTTCTTTTATTCAGTTTGAGGTCAAACTGAGTCACTCTTATGCATATTGGGTGACCCACTTCTGAAATTAACACGTGGATTATTATATTTTTTTTCTTTGAACATTTAATAGACAAAATGTTGGGAGAATGCTGATGCGCAAGCAAAGGGAACCACTGTTAAACTGAATTATTGCCACAGTTATGATTTTCTACTGGCACCTGATTCTAAATCATTAGTAGGCCTACCGGTATTATTATTTTAAAAATGACATGTAACTTTTAAAGGGTGTTAGAATATATTTTACGCACGTCTACGTTAGCTTCGTATTAACAGTGCATCTGTCAACCTATTTGGGGTATCCTATGAACTGTTATCAGACTCTATTATTGTCCCCAGATCCATTAAGCTTGTCAATCTGTATTGCATCAAACCGGTGAAACGTATTTCACTGCCTTCCAGTTTTATTTAGCTTTTTTTTTCAATTATTTTTTTTTATTTTTTATTATTATATCGAACGGGGCTGAACGAGCAGCCCTCCCGGTTAGAGACACAGTTGCCCATAAAAAAAAAAAACGTCACCAATTCATTAAGCTTGTCAATCTGTATTGCATCAAACCGGTGAAACGTATTTCACTGCCTTCCAGTTTTATTTAGCTTTTTTTTTCAATTATTTTTTTTATTTTTTATTATTATATCGAACGGGGCTGAACGAGCAGCCCTCCCGGTTAGAGACACAGTTGCCCATAAAAAAAAAAAACGTCACCAATCCTATCCGCCAGATGTCACTTGTACAGCTGTTCGAATGTGCTCGTGATTGAGCAAATCTCTCGCATAACAATCAAAGTGCTGACGTCAAAAGCACGGACGCTTGGCTGAGGTAGTCTAGGGATGCGACATACATTTATTGATGTTCTTGTATTACATATAGGCACGGTAACTGTGATATTGATTTTGACACCTAATTAATACATAAAGAGTTTTTTTATACGTGTTTGGTAGATTATACCCAGCACTTTCGAATGATTGAATTATTATACCTAGCCCATTCAAATTTTAAAATGATTATACATAACACGTTCCAATAAATGAATAGATATACCTTGTAAATGAGAATGATCAAATGATTATACATAGCACATTTGAATGATTGAATGATTATACATAGCACATTTGAATGATTGAATGATTATACCTAGCACATTCAAATGATTGAATTATTATACCTAGCATATTCGACTTATTTAATGATTATAGCAAGCACAATCGAATGATTATATCCAGTACATTCAAACGAATGAATGATTATACCTAGCACAATTGAATGATTACACCTAGCACAATTGAATGATTATACCTAGCACAATTGAATGATTATACCTAGCACAATTTAATGATTATACCTAGCACATTCCAACGACTGAATGATGACATTCCCAAGAACGTGTTCATCTCGTTCAGTATCATCGGCGTCTATTTGTTTCCTTGTTGCAATATAGCGTTGTACCTTGTTATGAGCCTAGATGTTATATTGAAGCAAGTTGTTCCGAACTTAGATTTAAAAGTTACATTAAAAATAAGTTGCCACAGAACTGGACCTCAGTTAAATTTTGAAAAGTTTAAGTATTTAAACAGAGAAATTTTTTAAAAAAAATCTGATTGTATCTAAGAATAAGGACACATGGGGAAATAAAATAAAGCTCCATTAAAAAAAAAACATTAGCTCGTGATTTGGTAAACCGCCACCATTTCAAAACAGGAAAAAATGCTTTTTGAAAAATCTTTGTGCGAACTTTTTAATTTAAATGCGTAAAAACATGTTATAGATCCTCTGTAGGCCTTTTGGGAGGTGCATAATTTAACAAAAAAATTATAAAAAAAAAGAAAAAAACAAGTTTTATTGTCTAAAACCTTTGGTTTTTTCCCATTCTATGGAGAATATAGCATATGTAGAGCTGAAATAGGAATTTAAATCAGGTAATTTTTAAGAAACGTGGACTTAGGGCTACAGAGTTTGTACCGCCGGAAGTAATGCCAAGCTTTTTGAGGCCCCGTCTACAAATCTCTACAGTTGGTCCAAAAAATGTTAACTAACAATAAAAGTAAAATAAGTGCCACCTAGGGTGGACAGCCCACTCCGCACCACATTCCTACACGGCTGCCACAGCTCTTAGAGTAATGCAGCAACAACTGCGTGTTTCATTCATAGCTCTCTCACTTAAAGAATTTGGGGATGGAATAAATTAAACTTATGATTCGTCAACTTCGTGTCGTTACTGCAGTGCAATACAGAGCACTCAGCCATGAAGAAATCAGCCATGAAGAAATCAGCCATGAAGAAATCAGCCATGAAGAAATCAACCATGAAGAAATCAGCCATGAAGAAATCAGCCATGTAGAAATCAACCATGAAGAAATCAACCGTGAAGAAATCAGCCATGAAGAAATCAACCATGAAGAAATCAGCCATGAAGAAATCAGCCATGCTTAATAGCAAACATGTTCAACCATCACAAGCTAACAACGAATCGCGACAGTGCGATCCAAAAGTGTCTACATTTCTACCAATAAAAACGACAAGCTGACAGCCTACAAAGGAAGCCCACACAACGACGCCTCCTGCACTCAGGGATACATTAAATCTCTCCACAACATGAACAGATGGACTTATTCCACATGCAAATCCCCCCCCCCCCCGCAAGACACATCACTACACACGCCAAAACACCACAGCTGCTTCAGACACACTATAGGACTCGGTATCAACTAAGTCTTGTCGTGGACACAGTTATCAATCTTGTTTGTTTTTTTTTTAAGATGGTAATAAAAGTTACGTTTATTGCCTAGCGCTATAAGGCTTATTAAATATAAGATACACCCAGGTTTTATTGGGATTAAATAAAAATAAGTTCTGTCTCTTTGAAAGTTAAAAACAGTCTAACCCTGGGCCGTGTCTATCCCTAGGCCGTGTCTATCCATAGGCCGTGACTCTATATACTTTACGACTGGGTCAACAGTTATCAATCTAGCTTTTTAAATCTTAAGAAAATTTAAAGTTTATAACTTAGCTTTATAAGGCTTATCAAATGTAGGATGCACACATGTTTTATTGGGATTTAAAAAAAAAAATCAGTTCTGTCTTTGTGTTAGTTAAGCACTATCTATCCCTTGGCCTTGTCTCTGTGTACGTCACGGCTGGATCAACATTTATTGAATTTCGGTCATTGATTTGGTCTTTCCCGTGCTACTCAAGCCAGGGGCAAATGTCGAGGGACATACTTATGAACATTCGTCCTTTTCTTCCTTACCTTTTCCCCATCACTTGAACATCTGATTTGATGGGACGTTGCATTCTAAATATAATGCACTATTTTATAGGGAAAAAGTAGACAAGCATAATAATACCTTCTTTGTTTTTTTTTCTTTTAATCGTATGATTTCATTGGTGACGATGACATGAATCTGTGTGTGTGTTGTGCATGACCATGTCAGCATGTGTCAGCTGATTGATTGGGCCTCCCCCCTCAATTACTCAATCAACCAGAAACCAGCTGTCCACCAATCACTGCACAGGGACAGGGATCTGTGTGGCTACGTGAAAACATTTCACGCATGGCTGAATATAACGTGATGATGTGACGTAAGCACTTAGACCCGTGTCATACATTATCATTCTTTTAAGATAAAACACATATTTTTTTATTTTCTTTCATAAAAAAAAAATTTGTAAGCCTAATTGTTACAGTAATTTTTTTACTGGCATATAAAATTAGCTTATATAAAGAGCATCATTCGTGATGTAGAATGTTATTTGTTTTATATATATATATATATATATATATATATATATATTGTAAGGGACCTTGCTTACTATCTGACACACTTCATCTAAATCTGGTACTCAAAAAGTAAACAACTCCGGTGATACATTGGATCATTAAACTCGTGTTCTTTATTTGGTCTATCACTTGCTTACTCTATCACTCATCTTCCGACTCTCACTTCTCCCTGCTCTGACTTCTCCCTGCNATCAGATCTGTGGCACTGAAATTCATACAGTGACATGACAGATCAGAGGCGTGGCTCTGACAATCCTACATTGGCATGTCAGATCAGAGTTGTGTGAGTTTTGTCGTCCCTCCGCCCCCCCCCCCCACCTCTCAGTCTCGATTTACTGCACATCAACACGCACACATGGGTCAGGCATTAAAGATGTCTTCACAAATAATATTACATGATTACCTATCGCGAATCTAAATAGTTTTACTCCTTGTGAACTGACAATAAGTCTCATGAAGAATGACGTAATCGTTTCTTATACTGCATATTTTCATGGTATCACTTATTCCAATATCATGATCTATAAAATACCTTTGAATTAAATTTAAAACTGAACGATGAGTGGTTAGGTGTGCATGTCGCTATAGGCCTGTGAAGTGTTCTCGCGTTTAAGGCACGGAATTTGAACACAAGGCGAAAAGAAATGGACCGACTGTCCTAGCAAACGCAATATCCATAAACTCGTCTATATGTAAACATTTATATAGGCCTAGACCTCATGTTCACTCATTGTTATTTATTCGGTTAGAGACACTATATAATAACATTTCTACCTTTTTCTAACATTATGTTTAATATATTACCCTGCCTTGTGCTGGTCCAATGAGATCTTTTACTAATCAATATTATCAGGACATTTATCACGGTGCGTGACTTAAAAGAGGATTGACCTTATTAGCTGCTCAACACCTCCAATAACTGAACCACCTTAACACACTTGAACATATCACACCAGCACACGACACACACCAACAACGTACTGAACAACATACCTCAGTTATTTGCCGTGTAATGAGGTGTGTAGCAGGGTGTTTCAAAACACCTTCGAAATGGCCGCGCGACTTGTGCTGGTGTCTGTCGTCCTGCGAGTTGGCGTCCGCTGGCGTGTTTCTGTGACTTACCTCCGTCGGCCTGACACATCGCTCACCGTCTCAACCGCTCGCAACACTGTCTGTTGTCAGGGGCGTCTCTATCTCACGCAACACTCTTCTGCTGTCAGGAGCGTCTCAACCGATCGGAACACTGTCTGTAGTCAGGGGCGTCTATATCTCACGCTAGGTTGTTGTCAGGGGCGTCTAAAATTCACACAACACTGTCTTTTTACAGGTTTGGAGATGGTTGCAATAATAGGATTAAAAATAACGAGAATTGAAATCAGTATATGCGATTATTTGAACTACTTAAAAAAAAACAGCTTTAATATAAAGTCTAGATCTAATTGCTAATTTAAATCGAAATGATCTAATGAACTTAGACTTCATATATTATGGGAAAGATAAAAAGACGACGGGAATTATTTATTACAAGATACCCTTATGTTTTATATGGTCTAAATATAATACCTACTGGCTTTATTTTAAAACAAAAAATAAAATCTTTATATTTCATCAGTGTATTTTAGAATTGGACATACTTACCGTTAAATACTAACAATGTTACTGAGTCTACGTGTTGAGAATGCCTTCCGTCAAGTTGAGTTTGAAGACCAACCTAAGAGAGCGTGAATTTTTTGCATTGCTGACATTTTCAGCAATTTGGAAAAAAAAAAATATGGTAGAGATATGGCTGATACATTTCGAATTTATGCATATTTGATTTGCTAGATCACCGTCCTCTTCCTCTAAAAAAACTGAACTAAGACTAAAACCGTTTATATTTTAAATTACTTTACTGCTCTTATTCTCAATCATACAGATACCTTTTACCAATGCACATGAACATGATTATAATCTATATACTTTATATAAAATTATTTAGATTGCAAGAACAATAAATGAACAATAGTAACAAATCATTTTTGCTTTAAAAAAAATCTATTGAAAAAACACCACTTCTCACCCCCACCCACTTGTTTGGTTACTGATGTCTACCATTCCTCCTTCACACCGAGACGCCCACGCTGGTGCGAATCGATCGCTGCTCACCGTTCATTGAACGCACTGAGTCAGAGGCTGGCTGTGTCACCAATTTATGTAGTGTGTGCATAGGACCAAAAACGCTGGCCCGTACAAATAGGCCCAGGCGTTCCCAGATGTTGCACTGCACAGATGCTTGGATGTTTGTCCACATCCGTATATATGTTATATATATATATATATATATATATATATATATATATATATATATATATATATATATATATATATATATATATATTATATATAT